TTCTTCTTCTTTGGGGGCCCCCCCCTCCTCTTCTTTTTCTTCTGCGTCTGTGGGGGCCCCCCTCTCCTCCTCTTTCAGTACCCCTTTGGGGGCCCCCCCTTCTTCCTTGGGGGCCCCCCTCTCTTCTTCTTTTTCTTCTTCTTTGGGGGCCCCTCTCTCTTCTTCTGTTAGTCGTTCAGATTTTCGTTTTACTTCGTCTCCCTCTCCGCTGCAGCAGCAGCAGCAACAGCAGCAACAGCAGCAGCAGCAGCAGCAGCAGCAATGGCTGGAGCAGCAGGAGCAGCAGCAATTGAAGCTGCAGCAGCTGCAGCAGCTGCAGCAGCGGCAGCAACTGCTGCAGCAGCAGCTGCAGCAGCTGCGGGATGAGGTGTATTTACAGGGGGAAACATTCGTGCTGCGCCCCCCATCTGCTGCTCTCCCGCTGCTGCAGCAGCAGCAAACTGCTGCTGCGCTTCCTGCTGCTGCTCCTGCTGCTGCTGCTGCTACCAGCAGCAGCAGCAGCAGCAGCAGTTTGTTTGGCGTGTCATCGACTTCTTTTGCTGCGACGCAAAAACAAGCAACGCCGCAGCATCCACATCAGCACCAGCAGCAGCAGCAGCAACAGCAGCAGCAGCAGCAACAGCAGCAGCAGCAGGAGCAGCAGGAGGAGGCAAGTGCCGTTCCTAGTTCTTCTGTGTTATCACTGGGGTGTCTATCCAGCACATCTCTATCTTCTCTTCCTCCCCGTCTCCTTTTCTTTTTCACTTATATAAAAGATTTAATAATAGATAGCACACAAATACCGCCGCAGGCTGCCCTGGCTTGTCTCCTTACTCTATCTTCGGCTGCTAGCGGCCTCCCTAAACAAACAAACAAACAAACAAACACCCCCTGGTGCTGCATAGCGACTCAGCTCCTGCAGGGGGGCCCCCCACCAAACGGGGGGCCCAGAGGGTACTGATTTGTGTGTGAAGGATTTGGTGGTGCTGAGGCTGCTTAATATTTTGTTTAGAGAGAAATTTCTGTTGACGGCGCAGCTCAAAGCAAAGAAAAAATATAATGCTGCTGCTGCTGCTGCTGCTGCTGCTGCAGCTGGAGCAGGAGCTGGAACAGCAGCAGCAACTGCAGCAGCAGCAGCAGTTGAGGGGCCCCCTATTTTGTTGCAGCTGTCGGTTCGTGAGCGAAGCAAACAAATCTGCGTAGAGCTGCAGAGACACCAAAGGGGAAGCAGCAACTCTCCTGCTGCTGCTGCTGCTGCTCCTGCTGCTGCTGCTGCTGCTGCTGCAGAGCCGTCGCTGATTTCTCTTGCTGCATGCAGTTCCCTCGCTTTGGCTCTCTCTGCCCTGGAAGACCCAGGCTCTTCTGCTGCTGCTGCTGCTGCTGCTGCACCTGCTGCTGCTGCTGCTCCACCTGCAGCAGCACCACCAGCAGCAGCAGCAGCAGGAGCAGCAGCAGGAGCAGCAGCAGCAGCAGGAGGGTACCGCCACCTGTGTTACTCTCCGCTGCTGCGTTGGCTGTGGAGAGAAGTGCAGCACCGACAGGCGGAGGCTCTCCCCTTTGATGTGTGTGCTCTGCTGCTAGCCAGAACAGCTTGCTGCAGCAGCTGCAGCAGCAGCTGCAGCAGCAGCAGCAGCAGCAGCAGCATGTGTAGCAGGAGAAGGAGGAGGAGTCTGAGCAGCAACAGCAGCAAGAGCAGCAACAGCAGCAAGAGCAGCAGCAGCAGGAGAGAAAGGGGAGGTTTGTTGCTGCTGCTTCCTTCTCTTTCTTCTCTGTCTGGGTGGCTGAGCTGCTGCAACAAAGATATGTCTGTGCTGCTGCTGCTCTCTCTTTCTGTTTCTGCTGCTTCTTGCTGCCGCTGCTGCTGCTGTTTCTCTCCTTCTATACAGAAACTCACTCTCTCCCTGCTGCATGCGACGGCACAGCAGCTCTGCTGCTGCTCAGCTGCTGCTGTTGCTGCTTGGTGGCGTGCTGCGGGCCTGCTGCGGCTCTCTGTGGACTCTGCGGCCCCGCTGCTGCAGCTTGCTGCAGCAGCAGCAGCAAACTGCAGCAGCCAGCTGCCGCTCGGTGCTCCTCTCGTCGATGTTCTTTGGGCTGCTTCTCTCTCCGGCGCACTCAGACTCACAGCAGCAACCGACAGCAGCAGCAGCAACAGCAGCAGCAGCAGCAGCAGCAGCAGCAGCAGCAGCAGTCTGACGGAGTTGCTGCTGCGTGCAGGTCGAGCTGCGCTGCAGCACTCTATGTATTTTGCTGCCGATGAAATTTCTCTCCTCGCCTGCTGCTGCGCCCTGTATGCAAGAGGATACCCAGGAATCAAACCCAGCAGCAGCTGCAGCAGCAGCAGCAGCAGCTGCAGCAGCAGCAGCAGCAGCAGCAGCAGCGAGTGGAGTTATGGGGGTGTTGAGGTCCCTGCTGAGTTCGTTGTTGGCCTCGACGGCCTGAAGGAGTACTCTCTCTTAGCTGCAGCTAAACTAGCAGACACAGGCAGCCCTTTGCTGCTAGCAGCAGCAGAAAGCAGCAGCAGCAGCAGCAGCAGCAGCAGCAACAGCAGCAACAGCAGCAACAGCAGCAGCAGCTGCAGCAGAAGAGCCTTTAGAGGAGATAACGGGCGAATAAGCGACGCTGCGGAGATAGAAACGGAGAAAGAAACAGCAGCAATGACTGAAGCAGCAGCAGCAGCAGCAGCAGCAGGAGCAGCAGCAGCAGCAGCAGGAGAAAGAAGGAGAGAAGCAGAAGCAGCAGCTCTTGCTGCTGATCTGCTGCAGCTTCTATCGCTGCATTTCTCTGCTTCTCTTCTCCCCCCCAAGGCCAGCAGAATTCGACGCTTCACAGAACACCTGCTCAACGCTAACCAACTACGCAGCAGCAGCAGCAGCAGCAGCAGCAGCAGCAGCAGCAGCAGCAACAGCAGCAGCAGCAGCAGCAGGGGTTGCACTGGCAAAGAGTGGAGTCCGCGTCGGTTCTTCGGTCTGTGGAAAGGCAGTGCTGCTGCAGCAGCACCAACAGCAGCAACAGCAGCAGCAACAGCTGGTGCTGCTGCTGCTGCTGCTGCTGCTGCTGACGGTGGTTTGTCTCTAGGCGACTTAGCAGAGGAGCAAAGCCATTACAACCCCAGCAGGGGCCATTCAGCAGCAGCAGGAGCAGCAGCAGCACCAACGGCAGCAGCAGAAGCAGCGGCAGCAGCAACAGCAGCAGCAGCAGCAGGCTCTGCTGCTGCTGCTGCAGAGCAGCGTCGATCGTGGGGAGGCGGATGGTGGGATTGGGGGGCTAAGAGACTTTCCATCATCCGCAGGAGGCAGCAGGCAGCAGCAGCAGCACCAACAGCAGCAACAGCAGCAGCACCAACAGCAGCAGCACCAACAGCAGCAGCAGCAGCAGCAGCAGCAACGGCAGCAGAAGAAGAGGCAGAGAGCCAATTGCTGTACTGCAACGATGAGGGTTTCTTTACGCCTAGAGAAGAAAAAACAAAAATAAATAAATATAATAACGATAACGAAATAATATATATAAATGAAAAATATAATAATAATAAAGAAATAATAAATATAAACAAAAATAAAAACAAAAACAAACAAACAACCAACACCCTTCTACATAAGCTCTGGCCGTATGGCGAGCCCCTGCAAGAAGCAGCAGCAGCAGCAGCAGCAGCAGCAGCAGCAGCAGCAGGAGAAAAAGAAAAAGAAGAACAGAGAGAAGAAGAAGAATATAATAATATTAATATTAACAATAATAAAAATAATAATAAAAATAATAACGAAGAAGAAGAAGAAGAGTGCGGAGGTGTACATACACCCGGAGATATGAATGAGGCCTGGGGCGAGCTGTGCATCCCTCCTCCTTCTTCTCTGCATTCGTTGCATCCTTACGGCTTTAAAACAAATAAAATAGATAAAATAAATAAAATAAATAAAATAAATAAAATAAATAAAATAAAAAATAATAAAATAAACAAAACTACAACAAAAAAACAAATAATTTACAGCTGCTTTTTCTTCTTCTGGCGGCTCTTTGTTGGTTTCGTTTTCATCGTTTTGTTTACTTTTGTCTTCGCATTCGAATAACTTCAACTTCTTTTTTTATTTAATTTATTATTTATTTATTTATTTATTTATTTGTTTGTTTATTCTTTTGTTTATTTGTTTATTTATTTATTTATTTATTTATTTGTTTGTTTGTTTGTTTGTTTATTTATTTGGTTGTTTGTTTGGTTTCTCGTTTGCTTGTTTATTTATTTTATTGTTTTTTTATTTTATTTTGTTTTTTATTTAATTAATTAATTAATTAATTAATTTTTTGTTTGTTTTATTACTGAGTTGCCTAGTTGCGCTTGTTTGTTTTTTATTTGTTTTTTGTTTTGTTTATTTATTCTGTTTATGTATTCTATTTGTTTGTTTGTTTGTTTTGTTTGTTTGTTTTGTTAGTTTGTTTCTCTGTTTGTTTGTCTATCTATCTACGTTTTTTTTATCTTCTGCATTGTCTCTGTTTTGTTTATTTATTTTCTATTTCTTTTTTTTCCTATTTCTTTTTTTTTATTTCTTTTTCTGTTTCTCTTCTGCTGTCTCTTTTCTCTGTTTTGTGTTTACGTTTATATTTATATTTATATTTATATTTATATTTATATTTATATTTATATTTATATTATAGATACAAAATAAATAAATTATATTTATATTTATAGTTTATTTATATTCTGTTTTTCTTCTTTTTCTTATATTTGTAGTTTCTTAGAGAAACAAAAATTATTTGTTTGCTGCAGTCCACTCGCCACCATTCAAACCGACAACACACACATATGTATATACATATATATATATATATATA